AATATGTATTAAAAGTGGAGGATGATGATTATCAACAGGTACAAGGTATTCATCTGCTTCAGAAACTATACAATCAATGTTTGCAAAAACTAGATCGAGAATACGATTATTACTATTTAATACAGAATTAAATTGTTTTAGTTTAAAAAAGTTTATAAAACTATGCAAACATGTAACTTTACTTGTTAACTGCTGAGCAGCATACTCCGGGATATTGAAATCGCCAATAACAAGCAGATTTTTATCATAAATTTCGTAGACTGATTCTATAGAGTCAAACAATAATTGATATTCTAGAACTGTGCATTGTGGCGGTATATATAAAATAATTAAATAAGTAAAAGAATAATTTAATTTAATTTTAACCATTAAGATATCAATAAATCTAATATTACAGAATGTATCACAAATGGAATTAATATTAATTTCATATGCTTCATACCTTGTACTAATTGCTAATAGAATACCCCCTCCCCTACTGTAATTAGTTGCAAGCAAATCACGATCTTTACGAAAAACCTTATAATCAGAATTAAACATTTCAGTATTAAAAGTCCCGTCCTTTAACCATGTTTCTGTAAACGCAATTAAACCGAGTTGATTCGCGTACGAAGAGGAATTCACATATAAATCATTTAGCTTACCATTCAAGCCACGACTGTTTTGAAGATAACATATTAGAGTGGAGGGAGAAGATATAGACTTGCGCATAATTGACTCTGCACTAATTAGAGGTTCGGAAAAATTTAATTGCTACTTTATATTTAGTATGTCACATTTAAACTTGTGGAGAGTATCAATATAGACCGGACAACTATGAGACCATGCTTCGTGTTTTGTGTCAACTTTTTTGTTTGAATTCTTATTAAAATTTATGCAATTTATACATTCAAAACAGTTAGATTCGCAATCGGTTAATTTGTGACTCTGAGAACATTTGGGACAGATATCACATGTACTATTGCAGCTCTTGGATATATGATTAAACCCGCAACATTTGTAGCAACGCCGAAGCTCAATACCATCATAAACCTTACATAAGTCATACCCTACAAACAAATTACCCTGATTGATCATTTTATTGTAAGTACCAATATCAACTTGAAATATGGCTTGATAAATATTATTGTTTTTTCGAGTCGAACTAATCGAGATAAACTTACAGTTAGATGAATTACTTATTAGATTCTTATTTTGAGCAAATAATAGATCACATAGTTCTACTTCATGAAGTTTTTCAGTTAAGCCGACAACTTTGATACGGGGATTTAGAGTAGCAACTTCCTTAATTTCATAATTTTCTGATAGATTCGATGTAGCAAGTTCTTTAAATTTATTAGAATCCACCTCGTCCTTACAGCATACTACAACGGCACCTCTACTTGCATTTTTTGTTTGGCACAGGGTTATATTAGATTCTACAGGATTAATTTTCTTCAACATTTCATTTTTCGTTACTTTGCTTTCTTGCTGTACCTTGGGTTTTATTATAAAGGTAGATTTTGCAACGTCGGCAAAAGTAACAGTTTCGGTTAAAGCTTTTTTATCATTATTTTTTAAGCCTCCCAGATTGATTTCGTTTTTAAGAAGATCAATTAATAAAGTTTGCTCACTTATTCTGCCTGCCTATGCATGGAAAGCCCACAAAAAAACTAAATCTGCGTTTATTTGCGGTTTATCAAAATATTTTATCCTGAGGCTCTAACGAATTAGTTGCGGTTAAGTCCCCACCCTGTATAATAACCAATTTTAATGTATTATAAATTATTATTATATATACATATATGTTAATGTATTTAGAAGCCCATTAACTTACTTACTTAGGTACTAGTAGATATATACATTTACGCAACAAAGGTAGCAAAAGTGAATAATATTCACTGAATATAAACTAAAACTATCCAACCAACCCAATGAACACATTTTCATTATATTGAATTTATTTCCAATATAATGGATTTATTTTTAATGTATTGGAAATAAATCCAGTATATTGAAAAAAATAATTTTATTATAATTTTGTGACGCCAGTACTTACGCTTTCGTACAAAACAAACAAACATTTACTAAAAATTTAAAGAGATATTTAAATTTGTTCCATACATTTAAAATGTTACATTTTACGTGGATGAAGGGTGTGCGTTATTTTCAAAGTTATTTATTTTTACTTTTGTATTATCTAAATTATTTGTTAAGAGTCGAAAAACAATTAAAAAAAATAAAAATACCTTTTCGATTGTTCGATTTTTTTCCTAAATAATATTTTAATGACATAAGAAAAAATTCATAACTCGATAATAAATAGACATGCAACAATATCAGTATGAGTGTATGAGTATATGGGGACGTATGGCAGGCCCCATCGGCTTCGCCTTACACTGATCTCCCTGGGACTATTTTTACCCCCTTTCCTACGTATCCCACAACTGCACAGCATTACATGTGTTTGTTGAATCCGAATTTTTACGTCGGCTGGCATATCTCCCCTAGTGTGGTTTCGTCGTCTGCGCTTGGCATGGGCCAGTATTTTAGTTGTGCCACCCTGACACGTTTGGTGATGTTTTTTCCTTCTAGAAGGACGCTGGTCGGTTGGTTCTGTATGTCAGGGATTTTTTTATAGTAGTATCTCTTTTAATACGTTGTTGTAGTTAAGATTGTCCGTAGGGTCTTTTAAACGCTCTGCATGTATACCATTTTGTCGGTTTTATTGTGGAGCACTGATAGTCTTTGAGGTTTATAGCTGGCGTCAGTCGCAGGTCGCAATAAAGTAGTTTATGATCTGTCTTTATGTCAAGTGGCCAGGTAGCTTTGCAGGGTTTGTAAAAGTACCCGTTTTTGTAGTTTCGTAGCATGTGGTCAATTTGCGATTTCGCTGTTTTGAAAAGGTGTTGTGTATTCGGAGCTTGAACAGCTGCGCCAGGTTAATAAGCTCTTGGCCGTTTTAGTTGGTTTGACTATGTACTAATTGCCTGCCTATCGTGAGTTTATCTTTGTCTGTGTGTAGTGTTTTTCCTAGGTGTGCGTTGAAGTCCCCTATTACTATTATTGCCCCTTTTTTCTTGTTTATGTCTATATGTTTTGTTAAATCGCCGTAAATCTTCCAGTTGCGTTTATTCGACGGAATATGTGTGAATATTACGCAAAGTTCTTTTTTATTACAGGCTAGGACTATTGTGGCGATGCTGTCTGAGATGGGGTAGAATTTTGTCGTTGCGAGGGCCTTGGATCGTCTTAGGAGTATCGCTACTCCCCTTCGGTTCGAATTGTTGTATCCTCCGCTTAAGTACCAGTCGTACGTGTTTGTTTTAGCGCGTCCAGTTGTCATGGTCCAGTTGTCATGAATGTTTTTTGTAATGCTATTATGTCTAGGTCAGTGGTTTCCAAACTTTTTTATTTGGCGCCCCCTTTTTAATACTATAAAGAGATCACGCCCCCCTGACCCGGATTATATAAATACCCTGCTTAAAATACCCCATAGAGACCTATACAAAATAATCTATCGGGCGCTACCGGATTCTATATGTGCATTTGTCCATGGGTTTTTCCGGATACAGCCCGATAGAAAATGTATAGGAAATTACCTATAGGCACACCATAACTTTTACATTTTCCCTATTGAGACCGATAGAAAATAACTCAATGAAGGATATATAGGGATATCCCTATAGAGCAACCATAAAACATTTGACAAAATTTTATTAAAACCTATAGGGTCCTATAGGGAAAAAACTAATTTCTACATTTATGTGTATTTTCCCCATTGAAACCGATAGCAAATAAATCAATGGTGGATATCCCTATAGAACAACCATAAATCTCAACTACGGGTCCTATACAAACCGATACACCCTATAGAAACACCATACATCCCGATACAAATATCTATCGGTTTGAACAGGGTCTCTATGGGGTATTTTAAGCAGGGTAGAAACTATACGTTCGCTAGATTAAAACTTATTTATTTAGAAAAATAACATTTAGAATAACTAACCTAATGCGAAGAGTGGTGCTGCATTTCCTTAACAAGGTGTGAAATTCTTGGCAACATCTTTGAAAGTGTGAAGCGCAGGTCGCTAGCAACATCAAGCCGGTTTCGTTGTTTTGTCTTAATTTCCACCAAAACAGAAAATCCTTTCTCGCACAAGTAGGTCGTCGAAAATGGTATATAAATTTTTAAAGCCATTTCCGCGATTAAAGGATAGTTGTAAAAATATTTTATCCAAAATGAAGTAATTTCCAAATTTTCAAAGTCATTTTTCGCTACTGAATCGTGTTTTAAGTCGATTGCTTGTTCTTGCAAGTGCTCTGCAAGGATATTTAAATCAAAATTAAAAGGATTTCGTGCAAATTTATGTTCGTCATTGTCGTTTAAATTTGGAAAATATCGTTGAAATTCGTCGAAGAGACTTTCTAAATGAGATATAATATTAGTTATGATCTCTTTATTTTTAGTATTGTCATTGTCTATTAATGAAGCTAATCTTGAAAACGAAGAAAAATTTGGTGTCCCAGCTTGCAGACGACGCACTATGTCGTAAATAGAGTGATTAGTGTGAATATTTTTTTAATTTTTAACGTTATACCTTAAAAGACATTTATTTTAAAGAAATCTACCAAATATAACTCCTGTTAATTATAATTTAAAGTTTTAATCGCAATTTACCAAGCGCGAGTTATTTATATAAAAAAATGTGTTTGTGCATTGTTTTAAAATTTTATACGTCACGGTCCTTATTAATATTTTATAAATAAACAAATGGTTGTATATTGTCAAGAAAAGCATAAGAATCAATTTTATTTATATTTTTTTGCTCTAAGGGCAACTTCAGAAATCGACTTTTGGTCACCTATACAGGTCAAATACGACACAGTGCGACGTTTCCATAATATCAGCTTTTCTAAAAAGGCTTGAATGGCATCATGATGGGTTATTATATTTGCTGAAATGTTGCCTTGCAACTTTAAATTAAGGATGTTTTAAAGATATCAGTTAGATAAGTTCATTTTATTTGAAAATTCTCATCAGCAAACGCTTCCAATATTTGTTCCTTTTTTTGTTGTCTAAGGAATTGCTGTACTTCCGCCCTTAAGTCAAATAGTCTGGATAACATATTTCCCTTGGAAAGCCAGCGTACCTCCGTATTGAATAAAAGCTTTTTATGTTCTGAACCCAAATCAGAACAAAGAGTTTCAAAAAGCCTGGTGTTTAAGGCACTATTTTTTATAAAATAGTGCCTACTAACAACTTTAATAGCTATATTTAATGCTTCGTTAAAGCTGTTTGAAAGCGTTTTAGCCGCCAGAGCTTGTCGATGTATAACACAGTGAATTCCTGTTATATTGGGATTTTTATTTTTTAATAATGTAACAAATCCAGAACGCGATCCTAGCATCGAAGGAGCACCATCTGTGCACACTCCAACAAGTTTTTCCCATAAAATATTATATTTTTCAAAAAATTCAGAAATTGCATTCATAACATCAGCAGCTTTTGAAGTCGTTTTCATCTCCTGTGAGAACAGGATCTCTTCCGTTATAGCACCATCATAAATAAAGCGCACATATACCATTAGCTGACAACATTGCGCTATATCGGTACTTTCCTCACACTGAATTGCAAAAAAAGGCGATTTTCTGAAAGTTTCCACCGTTTGAAGTTTGATATCTTCTGCCATTTCATGAGTACGACGTTTAACTGTATTATTCGAAAGTGAAATTTGCGAAAGCTTTGTTTTGCTTCTGGAATCAAGAAGAACATCAGCAGCTTTTAAAAGGCAAGGTTTAATGAGCGTTTCACCAAGAGTATGAGGCTTTTTTTCTTTTGCAATAAGCAGCGCAAACTCATATGAGGCTTCCACAACTTTTTGATTTACTTGAGAAAATTCACCAGTATTGTCTAACTTCATACGTTTTAAATTTTGAACCTTAGCTTGAAAAAACTTTTTAGGTTTTTCTTTTAGTGCACCATGTTTTGTAGATAAATGTCGTTGAAGGCGTGTAGGTCTCATAGCGTCGATACTAAGAACGTCATAACATAAAACACATTGTGGACAATCCACTCCATCCTTTACCATAACTGCAAACCCGTACCTAATATACTCTCCCATGTACTTTCTTTTTTTAGTGCTAGTGGATTTAGCAGAGTTCATAATAAACTAAAAAAAAGAAAACAAAAGTCACACATTGAAAATGGCTAAAAACTTGCTGACTACCAGAAATACATCCTTTCGAAATAAATTAAAAAAACAATTTTTCTTTTAAAAAGCAATACTTGTAAAAGACACGCTTAAGGATAAATACTTACCTTTATTATTAATTAAACTAGGGTTAAACAATATAAGATTATAATACGAGTAACAAGTACGAACCAAATTTTTAATTAAGGCAAAGGCGTAACGTCCCGTACCTCTGACGATCGAAACGGTGAACGAAGACTGATCACTGCGCTCGCGACCGCCGAAAACTCGGGCTGGGAGCGAATGACGTTGACCAATGGCGTGGCTAGGCGTTGTTGCCGGATCCTTAACATTTTCCTATTTTTTATGAATTGGTCAAATATGATTTTTTGTTATTTTAAAGCTAATAATTTTTATTAATACTTTAGGGCTCTTGCGCCCCCCTTAATATTGCTTGGCGCCCCCTAGGGAGGCGCGCCCCCCACTTTGGGAACCACTGGTCTAGGTTTAGTTGGGATAATGTGTCGTCAATTATATTCTTCTTGTCTGCCTGCCTACAGACCCTTACGTTAAGCGTATTTTTATAATGTGTTGTTGTGTACTGTTGTCTAAACTTGTCATCCCGTTACCGGTAGATTGTGCTTACGTGTAATTACCGTTACCACAGGCTCTTATGTTGGTTATGTTTTCTGCCTCTGTTAAGCAAGGCACCGCGGCTTGTGTCAATGTTGGTCAGATTTGTACTATACTTTCGTAGTTCCTGTCCTGCCTAGTCTGTAACAAACTGAGATTGAGTCAATCTGATTGACCCGTGGGTGTCGTTCTGTCTGTGGGTTTTGATGTGGTAGTTCAGTCTTTGTCTTAATGCGTGTGTACTTCCTATTGTTGACCTAGTCAGGCTATTGTCTAGTTGGTGTGCTAAGCTGGCCACTAAACAAGGATGAAATTTTAATTATAACTACTGAGTGATCTATCGTATTGACGATTTCCATGTTTGTTTTGGTTTTGCTTTATTAAGGTTTATGACGTTTATTTATGGGTTTAGTCGAATGTTTATTTCGGGAATCGTGTCTTATGTCTGCCTTTTTCTGATTTGTTTATGTATTGATTTATGGGTTGGCTAGGGAACTGTTTGTTTTCTGGTGCCAGATGAGATTCTTGGTAATTTGCATTGCGAAGTATATTAAGTTTTACCTTTAGATTATAGATTAGAATAGAATTGGTATTGTTATTAGGTTATGCAATTAGGAAAATTACTTAGCTGGATTAATTAGACTTGAAATCCTGATGGTTTGTCTTTAACGGGCAGTCCGTTATTCCTTGGCCTCGACCTCTCGCTTTTAGCACGCGTTGATTGTGGTGGTAGTCCAGGTAGCCAGGTAGGCTTATCGTTATGACCTAACATTAATCACTAATTCACTCACACACTCATACGAAGTTATAGCACTATGTGAGTTAAACCGGGGCCACCCGCACTTTTCGCACTTATTATTTATTTTTTATTTATTATTTATTTTTATTTTATTGTTTTTGATTCACTTGTATCCGATAAATTACCGGATTCTTAGATTAGTTATTAGTACTTGCGTTTGTATCGTTTACACTGCTTAGGGGCGTTCCCGTTAACGATCGTAGCACAACCTCTCACTTTATGTGTAAGAACTAATAAATAGACATGCAACAATATATGAGAAATATTTATGTAGACAATTTAACACTTTACAAAAACAGTCTTTATATTTTTTTTTATTAAAATCATCAATTAAAATAAATCAAAATAAAAAAATTGTATTTGTAAACAAATAATAAGGAAATATATATATACATTTGCGTTAATGCAATGGTTTTCTATTTAAATACCATGTTGTAAGAAATGGCCAAATATCTCGTCACCGTGCTTTAGTTTCGAGCGTGCTACACAAACAGGCACCGATAGACAGCCACGGTTATATTCTGAGAAATGATTTTCACACTTTCTGAGAAACTTTTTTTTTGTGAAATTCTATTTATTTATGATGTAACTAAAAATGTAAGAGCAAAATTAAAAAAATCCCACGGTTAGTTTTTTTTTATTTGATTTTTATTAAAAATATTATGCACTTTTAATTATCCACTTAAAACTTTTGATTTCTTATATACATTTGCAAAACGTTTATTTTATTAGAAATTATTAAATTTTCTAAAAAAAAATGTTTTCACAATTGAGGAGCATCCGTGCAAAACCGGCTAAATCCATTTTATTCATTTTTTGTTTTTTTTTTTTTGATTTCGCATCTTTGGGTTAATTTCTATCGACAACCAAGATAATTCTGTTTAAAATTTAACTATATCCATGTTAAAATCACATTTAAAAGGTAGCTTTAGAAGCAAAACCGGCCAAATCCAATAAATAATAACGATGATGAACATGCGGCTTGGATATGTCGATACTACTACTAAAATTTGTTCATGTTTGCACTAAATTTATTTTGTTAATATTTTTGAAAAAAAAATGTTTTTTTCACATTTTATTCGTTTTTTATTCGGTTTTTGAGCAAGACCGGCTATATACAAAACATTTTTTGAAATTTTGGCCTTAATATAAAGTTTTTGAAAACGAAACTATGTCTTATAAATCAAGTACTTGTAGTAGTAGCCCACAAAACTGCTTTTTCTTTTATCTGTAAAGGCCAGGAAACCGAGAGTTTTTGCCATTTTCACAACATTTTATTAAAGTGGATATAGCCGGTTTTGCACGGATGCTCCTCAATTGTTTTATATCATTGACTGTTTTCTTACAATAGGCTATTAAAGTTGTTATTTAACTCTTAAAGTATGCGTTTGTTTCCTTTATTAAAAATTTATTTAAGGATGCCATGAATTGGTAATTTGTATGTAGACATTACATTTGATTTAACATTTAAGTTTTTTAAGTTTTTTAAACCAAAATAAACAATAATCATAGCAGTTATGTATAAATTCACGAAAAAACCTAATAACTAATATCTTACTTATTTCATTTAAAACAATAATTTTATTTTTTTGTTGAATAAAAAGTTTTTTTTAATTATTAAAAAAAACTTTTTATTTAACAAAAAAATAAAATTATAAATGCAATGCATTATATTCTATGATTGCAGCAACTAAATGTTTTGGATATTCTGGGTGTTTTTTATTTAACTTGTACCGGCACCAAAAAGCTTTAAAGTCTGAATGGACAGCTTCAAATGCCTGCTCAGAATAACTTCCTAATCCATTTTCGTGATCTTGTAAAAATTCGGAAACATTATAAATAATGGCAATCCTAATTTGTAAATCAACAAAATCCATCACAAAATTATGTATTTGGTCTAAATAGTTCTTATTTATTTTATTACCAAAACACTTATTAACAACTTTTTCCAAACTTGAAAAACATTTTACAAATTTCAAACATTCCAGGGAAGAAATGCTTCTCAGATAGTCAATATTTTTTAATAATTTATTTCCATTAAAAGACCATCCAGAGCCTTTTGTAATTTTTTTTAAGGTTGCACTTTTTGACCCATAAATTTGTTATGTTGGGACATTTTATATGTAGCGATTTAAAAATTGTTGTCACTGCACCTATTAAAAGATGCAGTTCAGGAGGTACAACTACGACTTTTAAATCTTCAATAATTGGTAAATTACAACAGTTTTTGTAAATACTTAATTTTGCTTTATTACCATTTGCTTCACTTTGCCAATTCAAATAATTCCTTTTGATATTTTCCAACGATCTTGGAATGCCGTTTTTTATTAAATTATTTTTATTAGCATTGCACCATGTGCAAGGATGGGAAGAGCTGTGTGGTTGTAAGCCTTACAATATATTTAAAAAATTTAAATCAGAGGATAAAAAGTAAATATCTTTTAACGAATTTAATTCCAAAATGTCCCAAATGATTTTTAAGTTGTAGTAATTTTCTTCTATTGCAGCTATGGCTACAATATAAACTTATTCTATCTATAAATTGTTTTTTGTCATGAACTAAATTTAAAAAATCCCTGGTCCATTCCTAATTTAATATTAAAGGGTGTTACAACTTCTTTTTTCCCACATATTTTCATCATTGCCTTTAAAAAATTTTGAATCCGTTACTTGAAAAAGGTTTTAATTTGTTTGATTTTTCTTAAGTTGTACTAAAATATTTGGTTCAACAGAGTTCTTGCCATTATTTTTTCTAATTGTGGTGAATATTTTTTTTAATTGTCTATAGCTTAAATTTAACTTGTTCTGAATGCTCGAAACACTTTTTTCAAGTACTCGTAAATAGTGATTTATTTTTTCGGCACTATTATAAATTGATGTTTTTTCTACTTAATTAATATTAGTATTTAAAGATTTTGTTTTTATTTTGTTTTAGTGCACACATGTTCCCTTCCTCTCTGAAGGATACACTGATAAAATGGTATCCTTGTGGCAAAATATTCTATTCATTTGAAAAATATTGATTCAATTCAAAGAAACTGAAATTATTTTAAATCCGTTTCCCTTCGGATAAGATAATTGCTGCATTTGGGTGTAATTCTCGATTCTTTTGACATTTAATTTCTTTAAAGCAAAGTAAAGGCATTTAGACAAAAGAAATCTTTAATTCATACCTTTCTGTCAAAATTTAATGTTATTGTTAGAAATCCCACGGTTTTGTGCCAAACTACACTGATAAACATGGATTACGCTGTGCAACACCAAAAATCAAACCGCACCGGACTATTTTTTTCTGAAAATATACCTATCCAATAGCAAAACCCTCGCTGGGTTTGTAAAAGTTAGCTCGATTTATTTTTTTATGGCCGTTTGTATTTTCTAGCTTCATATACCCCAATTTAGACTTATTAATCGACTTTTTCGCATATATTCGAATTATATCGTCAAGATTTTTTGTAGAAATGTAGTTACTGAACAAATAAACCCATTTTATGAACAACCTATATCCCAAAACCCAAATTTTGGGACCAAATATTCGAAAATTTTTTTTCAATTTTTCGATAATATTTTAAATTTCTTGCTACCTCTGGCAAAAATGTTGTAAAGTATACTAAAAGAAGTAATTTATAAAATACGCACACAAAACTGAACTTTAAGTTTACTTATTTGCTGGAAAACAATTTTTAAACAAGATTTTCCAAAATATTCATCTTTTCATACTCAACACCAAATTTTTTGCCGAAATCTTTGAAAAATCTGTAGGAAAAAATTGAATAGATAAAATAGAATTGTAGAAAAATACAGAGAGTTTGATTTTTTATTTTGTATTAATTTTATTATTAAAAAACTTTTTTATATCAAAACATTGAGTAGGTAATCTGATTCATTGCTGGAGAATTCCATCCCTTCCACT